ATAGACCCCTCTCTGATTACTCACTGTCTGAAGAACTTTCACTTGCAACTATTTCAACAACATCCCACCCCTACTCCTGATATGTTTGAAGGATATACTCAGTTAAAAAGGTAAGGGACACTGGTACTTTCCTGGTGTTTGAAAAAAATAACATTGACCACTAACTTTTGTGTTGGGAAAATAAGTATAATATAGTATACAGTGGTTTAAACTTAACTGTTCGAGATATTTAGAATCCTGTTCGAGATATTTAGAATCCTGTTCGTAGTATGTACTGTCCCCTTTCGTTTTATTTGGGGCGGTGGGGTAGCCTTGTGGTAAAAGTGTTCACTCCTCACGCCGAAGGCCCGGGTTCGATTCCCCACATAGGTACAATTTGTACACCCCAATTTATGGTGTCCCCTGCCGTGATATTGCTGGAATATTGCTAAAAGCGGCGTAAATCCATACTCACTCACATTCCTGTCCTGTTCGTGATATATATTATTCCGTTCGTGATATATACTGTCCATTTCGTGATATTTAGAATCCTGTTCGTAATATTAAGAATCACGTTCGTGATATTTAGAATCCTGTTCGTGATATTTAGAATCCCGTTCGTGATACTAGTATTTAGAATCCTGTTCGGGATATTAAGAATCCCGTTCGTGACATTTAGAATCCTGTTCGTGATATATGTTCCGTTCATGATATATATTGTCCTGTTCGTGGTATACATGTTCCGTTCGTGATATATATTGTCCCGTTTGTGATTTATATTGTCTTGTTCGCGGTGGTCGTACTTGTGGTCGTGGGAGAATGTTTTTTACCTTGGCTACGAATTCGGTCATTCCTAATTTTTTCTCATTTTAGAATTTAGGCTTCTATCAGACTTATCATTAGTGTCCTTTCGTGAAGATCCGGGGTAGAATAGGTCTTCAGCAACCCATGCTTGACGTAAAAGGCGACTATGCTTGTCGCAAGAGGCGACTAACGGCATCGGGTGGTCAGGCTCGCTGACTTGGTTGATGCATGTCATCGATTCCGATTGCGTGGATCGATGCTCATGATAAATCACTGGATTGTCTGGTCCAGACTCGATTATTTACAGACCGCCGTCATGTAGCTGGAATATTGCTGACTGCGGCGTTAAGCAACAAACAAACAAACATTAGTGGCCTTTACTGTGCGACCGCTATGTTGTATTCGTACACGATAGCCCAGGGATATATATTAAAAACATATGGTCATATTCGTGACAATGTTTGTTAGCTAATTATTCGACCATTTTGGTCTTGTTGATGCATTACTTCAGTTTGAAATATTGTCGTAATTGTCATCAAGTGTGCTCGCGATAGGGGACCCCTTCATCCCACCAACAGATGTATGAGATCCTGATGTTCGTAACGAGGTCGGCCCTTGCATATCACGATCATTTGTGACCGTAAACATTTCAATAAAACTGTCAGATGTTTTGAATTTGGAAAGTATAATTGTTTTGGTTTGGATTGTTATACAAGGGATGCCGTACTCAGTTTCTCACTGAGTGAGTGAGTGAGTGAGTGAGTGAGTGAGTGGTGAGTGGTGAGTGAGTGAGTGAGTGGGGTTTAACGCCGCTTTGAACAATATTCCAGTTATATCACAGCCTATAACAGGCATACACGGAGCATATACCCACCAGATTTGATAGTTTTGAATATCAAGGTTCCTTTAGTATAGTCCTCAGGCGGGGCCTAATGTGCGGTCTGTAAATAATCGAGTCTGGACTAGACAATCCAGTGATTAACATTATGAGCATCGATCTACGCAATTGGGATCGATGACATGTATGAACCAAGTCAGCGAGCCTGACCACCCGATCCCGTCAATCGCCTCTTACGACAAGCATAGTCACCTTTTACGGCAAGAATGGGTTGCTGAAGACCTATTCTACCCCGCATCTTCACAGGTCCATCGGGTTATGAGGGCCCACAGCCACTGAATCAGACCACCGGCTCATCGCCTCTCCTACTCCTGTCCATCTAACGTGTGGTATATAACAGCTTACCTACTCATCAACCATCGAATCAATATGTTTATAAATTGTAGATCACTGTTTTCATAAAGTTAAAAATTTGTCATCACTTGTAATAAACAGATATTAAAACGTTGTCAAAGGGAGGTAATCACAATTTAGGCGCTGATTGATCAACTCGTTCACGGGTGTTGAGAGGTGATTAGAACGGACATTTTACATATTTTATGACTGCTTCTAATGCTATGGTTACTGTTTCGTGAAGAATGGATTGTCGATGTGGTATGCCTGTATTTACCGCCCCACCTTGAGATCTTGGTAAGAGAATGGTCCTTTAGGCTGCAATGTTCCAACTAAATCACGGCGGTCTGTGATCAAAACTGTGTCAGCCAAACCAAACACCGCACTCAGCAATATTCCAATATATGACGGCAGCATGTAAATAATTGCGTCTGGACCAGACAATCCAGTGATTACACACAAGTCACCGTGCCTGGCCCCCTGATCTAAGGTGTGTTTGTTTGTTTGTTGTTTAACGCCTCACTCAGCAATATTCCAGCTATATGACGGCGTTCTGTAAATAATCGAGTCTGGACTAGACAATCCCCAGATTGACATCATGAGCATCGATCTACGTAACGGGATGCGATGATATGCATCAACCAAGTCAGCGAGTCTGACCAAAAGATCCCGTTAGTCGCCTTTTACGACAAGCACAGTCGCCTTTTACGGCAAGCATTGGTTGCTGAAAACCTATTCTACCCCGGTTCTTCGCGGTTGACCTGCATGATCTATTGAGTCCCCCCTTACGACCTGCTGGTGACCAGCTCTAACCCCGAATCCCACAGGATCTATAACCACTAAGCTTCTTGGGGTGCGGAAGACTCATCGAGCCCCGAGTAGCCATGGTTCATTTCACTTTGATCACCCTGGGGTGTAGAGACAGTGCGTGAGTGAGTGTATTTGGTTAAAACAGTATTTCAGTATACAGCTAATCTTGTTGGGGTAGACGTGATACGTTTACCTTTGGTGAAACCAACGTCCTGACCAAGTACGGATACCATGCTGAAAGACCAAGGTTAAAATTTAGGTTGAAAACTCAATCATCACATCCGGGAACGACAAAGCAGCGCAACCCAAGATCAGCACAGAGAGCTGCAGCGACTGGGGCACCCGGTTTGGAAACAACATGTACCTGCTACCATAACAGCCGGGGCGGTGGGGTAGCCTAGTGGTTAAAGCGTTCGCTCGTCACGCCGGGTTCGATTCCCGACATGGGTACAATGTGTGAAGCCCATTTCTGGGCGCCTTGATATTGCCGGAATATTGCTAAAAGCGGCGTAAAACCATACTCACTCACTCAAACAGCCGCTGCACATATTGTGTTCAATGAAAAGCATTACTTTTTGCCTAAATAGTCATGTTAAGAATGGTGGGATAGCCTCGTGGTTTAAGTGTTCCCTCGTTATGCGGGATGTCCGGGTTCGCTTCCCCACATGCGTACATGTGTTCATTCTTGGTGTCCGCTTACAAGATGTTGCTGGCATGTTTCTAAAGGCGGAGCAAAGTCTTGGTTTCCCATTTAGCCGTGGTGGTGGTATGTGTAACACTTGTAGATTATATAGGTCTGAAAAAGGTAGGAATATACATGTGTCCGTACGTTTGTTATAATACTTGGCATGGTAGCAGTAGATCTAGGTTAAAACAGCCCATTTATTTTTTTAACTATCGGAAAAATAGCAAATATGGAACGCTGATGTAGAACATGAGTTAAGTATGTTTGATCATTTTGTAAGGGTAGTGTACACGGATAGACTTGAACAGTCTCTATGTTATTTACTATCATGTAAACAATGTGTCTTATACAACCAAACGAACAAAATGAAAAAAATACTCTAAAATTTGAAACAAAACAAATGTTTTCATGCATTCGGAACACACCAGCAGGGAGACAGAAATGTGCCTCGGATTATTTAATGCTATGTTTGAAATGCATATGAGAAGTAGAGACTGGTACCAGTCTACTGCGGGGTCTAATGATATCTTGGGAACAGGATCTATTTGTTGTACAGGAATGTTCTTTGGCAATGTCGCAGTGGAAACTGGAGCAACACTATTCTTATAAACTTTGTGTTGCCTCAATACATTATAGTTCACAATTGTGTATATATTTCAAAGTGTCTAGGCGTGGTTGGTTGGTAAAAAAACCCAGATAAAACCTTTAGATTTGTTTTTTTTTCTTCAAAAGGCTATATGAATATTTCGCCATATTCGCAGTGCTAGTTGAGCCTGGCTCGGCAGACTTGAAGACTGACCTACCACATGCACACCCTTTGTGGTAAACACGTGTGTTTGCATATGGCTTTTCAGATTTGATCCTTTTCCATCTTTCACCATCTTAGGGTGGTGAAATCCGTGAAGCAGTGAGAACAGCCCCGCCCTATCCCTTGGCCAGTGTAAGGGGAGACTGTGATCGACCATCGGAGTAATGAACACACGATGCCATTCAGAAAGTGGTCAAATGTAACAAATGTTAAATTTGGGAGAACCCTATCTTAGTAAATTACAGATTCTAGAACTTTTTCCGAACCGTCACTGAACCTAATCGCCAGCACACAAAGTCAGCAACCTAACCCGGTCAGACCACTGGGCCTTCTACAAAAATGAAGTCCGACAACTGGTAGTCTTGATAACGATTAGGTGCCTCACTCTTGCAGTGTTGGTTCAAATCCCAGATAGGACTAGAATTCCGCCCAACGCCCCCCCCACTCCCGTACGTACACCAGCACAACCCCTTAATTAGCTTCCCTGTATATTTTGGAGTTGACATCACGACCTAGTAATGTTCATCGTTACAGAATCAATATTTTTTGTGAGTTTAAAATAGAAAATAATTCAAATCTATGCCATAATCACAATTCACAGAGTTGCCTCCCTTAAATCACCAGCTGATGTCAGGAAAACTTGCATCTGTCCCCTGCGATATACAAGAAGGTAAATGAACATCTAATATGAACATAATTTATTTGCAAACAACGTGGTATCAAAGCAGACCACGGACTCAACACTCGCTGACATAATCAAACACGGTATGTCAACAAAGCCTTGTGATTGGTCCCTGGGTATTGCCACGGCTAAACTGATACCACAACCACGGTAAAGGGGGGGGGGGGATTTCACGGAAAAGAACAAACTATCCCACCCTTGAAAAGGAAAGAAAACGCTTCATCCTTGGACGAGACAAAAACAAGGAAAGCCACATTCAAAAGTTAACTCGTTATAATACTAGTAAGTAATTATTATTTTGACACATAAATCTTGTAAGGTAAAATCAAATTTGGTGTTTAAAAACGTCTGTCTGTCGAAGATGTGGGTAGTCAGTCCGTGACGTATTACAATTACGACACGAAACTAAATAAAAAAATAACAGCAATGTTCTGATTACGTTTTGACGTTCTTTATCCTCGTATTTTTGCCCCAGCAATCATACTTCCGCCTACGTGTGCAGGAAATAACGCGGGTGTACATTATCAAGGCCACAAAAAGTTGAACAAATGTTTGTCATAATCGTGTGGTTCATTTTAAAAAAAATGCCGTTTTAACAATTGTGACCCGTTTTTCAAGAGTTGGTTTCGATTTTTGGGGAAAGACTCCCGGGTCACATTACAGTGTGGGCTATGCCGCTGTGGTTGCTGATACTCTTTATTCCTGTACTGGAGGCCCATGTACAAATACAGGTGGTAATTATCACAGGGGGCAAGCAAATTTGCGACAGATTTTCATTTGATAGTGACGATGTTGATAATCGTATAATAGTGTGGGCTATGTCGCTAGGGTTTGTATCGACTTTAAACTCTGTCTTCCTATTAACAATGCAAACAGGAAGCAAGAAATCTTGGTGACTTGGTCATTTTGAAACTATTTTTTTTTATGAATAATAGTTTGTCATGGCCTTTTGTACTCGGCTATGGATTGTTTTTTAACTAACAGCGTCATCGTACCTGAAACACATTCCTCAACAAACTAGAAATTATTAAAGAATAATTATTTTTTTTTGGAAAGATCATTTCTTCTCGAGAAAAAAAGAATTGTCTCACATATAAAGTAGCCAACATTGTAGCGAATGCTTCATGCCGAACCTAGCAGGATGAGTTGTCCTCCAGACATATAGATGGCGCTTTAGGCAGAGACTGTATTCTCTCGGTAATGGATGATGTTTAAAACCATGCTGACAAGAGTCCTGTCTGTTCGATGGGAGAAAATGGTAGAGGCCCTTTAAATCCAGATTGTCGTGGAAGCTCTCTGTATAGAATTGAACAAGATAAATACCACTAGCCTGGTTCAGTGAACGGTAGATGTACAATAATAACGGTAAATGTACAATAAACCCCGTTAATCCAGACAAAACCATTCCCAGTATATTTGGATTAAAAGATCCTGGGAACGGAACTATCTATTTGTGTCTGTATAAATGTTACCGACACTGGAGGTCAGGAGTAAGGTTGTCCAGATAAACAGAGTCTGGATTAACTGGGTTTCACTATACATGGCAGCTGTCAAAGGCTGTTAGTTTAAACGAAGCGAGGATATGGTCTGTACACAATGTCCCCTGCCTGCAGTCACATCCTTTGATGTTGAGAGGTGTCCGTATGGTCTGTACATCATGTCCCCTGCCTGCAGTCATATCCTTTGATGTTGAGCGGTGTCCGTACGACACGTCATGGAATGGCTCACAACATCTTGGTCCTATGTAGAAGCTAAAATGGAACGTTGGGATTAACCGCTGTGCAGAGATACCGTTCCCGAATCACAAACCGGTTTTGCTTTGTAAAACCATATTCCTGTAATACAGTGGGAATCTCTAGGTCCGTACGGTCACAGACGTACATAACACGGCCATGACACGGTCAACCCGTCAATAAACAATACATTAACCCTATGTAGCATGGGGTGACATTTGTGGAACATTTACCAAGAAATTGTAACCATTGCCACATAACATTCACAAACCGTGCAGGTATAATAAATAAAACAAAGCAAGGACATGAGCCTTTGCTACCACCGATTGATACAATCAGTTCGGCCCGGCTATACAATGACTCCCACGGGGACCGAACTTCTTGCTATGTGAAACGGTTTGTGAATCAATGTCCGTTTAGCCTGCTATGGTCACAGGAGATGCCACTGCGCATGACAACATGTCTTCATTGTAGCAATTATGTTTTTTGTTAAATAATGGAGAATAGCTGTTGTGTTCAAATGTCAGGGCTCGTCATTTAGGTGGAGGAAGAGGCGGCCGTCGACTTTCCTGTTGGCAGCCTGAAGTGCATACAAATATACGTTAGACACCCTTAGAGAAATAACATAATGATTGTTTTAGCAAGACATGGCATTTCCCAAAATATATAAACTGTTCCGGAAAATGCTAACAAAAAATGATCAAAGGCTTTACGAAAAAAAGTTGTTCCTTGGACATGCTTGTTACGACGTAAATTGTAATAAAAAGGTAAATTGTAATACTTGCAGCAAATTGTAATAATTTTGACGTAAATTGTTATAACAACGTAAATTGTAATGATATTTGACGTAAATTGTAATACGCAAATTGTAACAAAACTTGACGTAAATTGTAATAATCTCTACTTGCGGTAAAATGTAATAAATTCTTACGTAAATTGTAATAACCTTACTACCGTAGTGTCCAAGACGCCAATTGACTAGAAATACTCTTTGTCAGTTGAACTTGCGTTTCACATGTACAATTCAAGAAATACTGCGTATGATGACAAACGTACAAAACTGTTAAGTTAGGGATGGTTGGTATAGGCTTTATCGTACAACCGTCAGTAAAGGGTGGTGTCAACATCGATAAATTTAAATGACTGAAAGATCCATCCTCGGGTTCAAAATGATGGGTTGCACAACCGTATATTCGACAAATAACTTAATTGTGACATATTGTTCAATACTCTTATAAGGTTATTCAAGATGTTTTTTTGCATGACTTGCGTCAACAGTTCGTCGACCAGTTCGACACGACTGAACGAGTGATGACGAAGGGTACAAACACAGGCTGGTCAACCAGTGTGTCGATTTGCAGTGGAAACGCTATACGAGTTGATAAGGAGTACATGATCCTTTTCTTGAAACAAACGAGGGAATTTAATCATATTTATTCAATTCATTTTACTTTGACGAAGAATTCAAATACAACAAATGAGTTGACAGATCCATGCATACACAAATAACATCCGGTATCTTCGTATAACTCTTTTACAGTTTCAAAGAGTATACGAATTATCATAAATTTCTTGCAATCAATTGCTGAAATATATCTGCTTGTATCCAAATAGAAAGGAATTGAAAATATATAATGAAAATATGTTTGTCACTAAAGTACATTTTCTCTTTGACCTTAAAACGTACTTCAAGATCATTAAACTCGACAATCGATGGTGGATTGCGCCAAGAAACCTTGATACGAAATATATACGTACAATAATCCCCTGAAAACATAACCTCCTCTGAAAGATTAAGAGAATTAAAGTAATTTGGGCTAACATCAAGCACTGTAATAACATACTCTCTTAAAATTCCAATGAAATGACTGGTGACTTACCAATAGGTCAAATTATATTTTGCTCCGATATTTTTTTACCTAGTTCTAATTGCCTACCCTTATCACTTTTTTTTAAAACTTCTAAATTTGAGATTGCAATATATGTCTTCAGATTGTATTTCATACACTATGTAACAACTGTTTTACCCCATTTCAAATTTGGTTTCATGTTGAATCGCTCTTTTCAACTACTGCTAACACACTTTAAATGCAAGGTGAGCATCCAAAACATATATTTTTATATATAAATACATTGTGTATACAACTGTAAATACAACTGTTCGGAGTACAGTAAAACATTTATTTACATGAGAGTTATGAGAGTTTCAAGTTCCTTTAGAACCATAACCAAATCCGAATATATTGTCCGTTAGAAAATTTACCGACTGTTATCAGTGTCCAAAGGCTAATAATGACGTATGGAAAAGGTAGTGGACTTGCATTAGAGCTGAAGAAAGTTATTTGCCATCAGAAGTGGACCAATGCCTGGTTGTACCTTAAGTACAGTGGTTTTGGCTGGTACATAGTGAAAGACATTTATTGGAAGTGCTGTGATGTTTGTGGCATGCTATCATCTACGTAGAGGATACTACCATCTGCGTAGAAAATACTATCATCTACGTAGAAGATACTTTCATCTATGTATATGATAGTATCTTCTACGAAGATGATAGTGTGCCATCTAGATACTATCGTCCACTTACATACTTTCATCTACGTACATGATACTGTCATCTAGAGTATGTAGAAGTGCAGTCATTTATGTGATAACAATGACAGAGAGCTCACATTTGCTGTCATTACATACACACACACACTCACACAAACACACTCTCACACAAACACACACAAACACACACACACACACACACACACACACACACACACACACACACACACACACACACACACACACACACACACACACACACATAGTGTTTGTGGGGAGGTGTTTTTGTATGGGTATGTAGTGTGTGCAACACGTGTTTGTGTCTGTATCTGTGTGTGTTTGCGTGTGTATGTGTGAATGTATGTGTGTGTATGTGCGTGTGCGTGTGCGTGTGCGTGTGTGTGTATGTGTGTGTGTGTTTGTGTGTGTTTGTGTATATTTGTGTTTGTGTGTCTATGCTGATGAGGCCAAAGTATCGCAGCAACAGTTTGATTTGGTTTCTTAGATACTTACTAGTCTTTTTATCAGAATTTTAACAAAGTATGTTGTAATTTCATTACAGTGCTTGTTGTTTGTTAGAATTAAATTACTTTAATCCTCTTAAACCCCCAGAGAAGATTATCCTCTGAGCTATTTTCTGTCCGTATATATGTCACAAATTAGTGATAACATATGAAAAACGTAATTATCTGTTTCGAAAATTATGTACCGCATTATACATGAGGTACTTAATTTGGTATTAAGATTGCTTGGCGCAACCCACCAACGATTGCCGAGTTTAATGATCTTAGAATACTCTTCTTATAAGGTCAAAGAGCATATTTACGTTAGTGACAAACCCTTTTCATTATAGATTTTCCATCCTTTCAATTTTGATCAAAACAGATACGAAACAAATTTATTATACATTCTGATGCTCTTTGAAACTCAACAAGACATGCCCGAAGATAACGGATATTATTTGTGTAAGCTTTGAATTATGATTTCGTGCCGTTATCATGATGGATTCTGTTTTTGTTGTTGGTGAAAGGAGTTATTATCCCAGCAAAAGTTGTCAGTAAGTTGTTGTTAGTTCTTCATGATATATGAAAGTAATCAAGACAGTTACATTTATTCATTTATTTCATTAAATATACTTCTTCCTATGAAAGGAAATTTTTTATGTTAAATTAATGATCCATATGTTAATCATACACTGCTACAAATATTGCATAAGTTAACATGGTTTGCATTTATTAATTTAGTATTTCTTTATCTGTGAGAAGTTCACAGAGATCGAGTATACACAATATCTAATAGTACATGCAATGTAGGTAAAGAATATCCACGCCCCTCTTTTGATATTAATAAAAAAACATTGCATATAATGTTATGTATCAAGTAATCTCCTTTCCCATGCATGGGAAATCTATGCTGCATTTGCTGACGACTGTTTTTCTTCCTTTGACATTGCACAGGAGATCTGTCACTCATTTGTTGTATTTGAATTCTTCGTCAAAATATAATGTATAAATACGACTGAATTATCTCGTTTGTTTCAAGGAAACGGTCATGTGCTCCTTATCAAACTAAGTAAACCTCCAATGCAAATCGACATAATTTCAGGGTCCGGTTGCACAGAGCTCTCTTCGGTAACTCGTAACTCAATGTTATTGCAATGGACTCTTAGCTAAGCTACTATTGGATGATAAATCAATTAACCTATTTGTCGAATAGACGTACCTAATGTAATCCATTATTTTTAACCAGAGGGTGGGTCTTTCAGTCATAAATTTCGATGTGTACAGTTGCTAGAGTATCATTCTAACAATACAGACATGACACAAGCTGCACGTAAAATAATTGATAAAGGTTGTTCTTGCGGGTTCACATACCTTCATGTACATCGCCCAGGACATTGTCATTACTTGCTTTACATCCTCCGAGCAACGTTAAAAAATTGAAACTTGAATAATAAAACATTGATATTATGTATATGAACATGTATAAATCAGCTTGCACAGAGACTACTGCAGAATGACATGTCATCCATTTGCTAGTTTAGTTTAGTTTAAACATATTTGATTAACAGAACAAAATGAGAATTGTATTGGGGACAAGTTCTTGCAACTTATTAAACCCCTCTCCGCATAAAATATGTACAAATATACAGTTGCAAAATAAATATATTTGCTTCAGTCAGTAAAAGTCAGACTTTCCACATTTACACATCAATATATTTGTGTAAGTTTGTTACGTTATGATTATTCCATTGTGTATATTACTATCTACTTTACCAATTGAAATATGATTCCATTAGGTTAAATTTGAACAAGTATGATGAAAATCGTCAATAGGATATATTACAATTAAGTACAAAACACACAGTATTTCTCAAATAGATAAGAAAACTATGTTCATTCTTGTAATATTAATCCTCTTCTGGACAACCATAGAAATGAAATTCCAATGCGTTTATATATACATATAATTATACAACAATGTACGATAACGACCTCAATCCTCCCCACATCCATACTTTAATGACGATTGTAAGATAAACCCTGTACCAACCCTGACAAGGATAGGTTCTAGTCATTTAACGCCTTTGACACTAAACGTATAAGGTTATTACAATTTACGTAAAAAGTTATTACATTTTACCGCAAGTTGAGATTATTACAATTTACGTCAATTTTTATTACAATTTGCGTATTACAAATTACGTCAAATTTTATTACAATTTACGTTGTTATTACAATTTACGTCAAAATTATTACAATTTGCTGCAATTATTACAATTTACCTTTTTATTACAATTTACGTCGCAACAATGCTGAATGTCTCGACAAAAATACATCTTTAAACAGCGACAGAAAAAAATATTCTGTTTTTTAACAAAGCTCGCAGGTCAAAGACCTTCTCATGTTTCAAATAATAAAAAAAAGGTTTTTCTAAGGTCATCGCTTGGACACATTAAGCATTACCTTATGAATTTATATTTGGTGCAAACACGCCCTACATATGTTAGTTGTAAAAAGATCAAAGCCAAATGATCATTCATATGAACACATATGATTGCTAAATTCTAAAAGTTGTGCTAATTTCGTGTTCTTAATATGGAACTGAAGTATAAGGTCGGATAACGGACAACCATGTAATTATTGAGTGAGTGAGTGAATATGGTTTTACGCCGCTTTTAGCAATATTTCAGCAATATCAGGGCGGGGGACACCAGAAATGGGCTTCACACACTGTACCCATGTCGGGAATCGAACCCGGGTCTTCGGCGTGACGAGCGAACGCTTTAACCACTAGGCTACCCGACCGCCCTGTAATTAATGAACAACGCAGCCCAAACAAATTTCAGTTGGAAAGTTTGAGACAGATTTCAATTGGGTAATCAGTTGGGACAAGACTGTACAGACGATATATACATACCAGGCCTTGCTTTCAAAGCGGGCATATTTTCCCTTGGAGGAAGAGCGGGTGCTTTAGCATTGCCTCTAGGAACTGGAATAGGAGGGCGGTTTTCCATTTTCTTGTTTTGGATGACTGCAGATGGTTGAGAAGGGAATGACCGTCTTGGTGGCACTGGAGGTAACGATGGGCTGAAAGACGCAGCAATGTCAAAGAAACCGCCTATGACGTCCGACACGTCGTTCCCGCCTGGATTAAAACTGTGGGCGTCAGCAAGACTAAAGTATGGAGGAGCACTAGGTGTCGCTCGGGAGTCGTCAATGAGACGTTGCGGGGGAGGAGGAGGAGGTGGCATCGGAGAACGTGGTCGCGGGGATGGGACAGGGGTTAGCCTTACCCCGGTTTGGTAAGACATGGATGGGGAGTCATTTGTGCTAAGATTACGATTGGGAGGGGTTGGTAGGGGTCGCGCTGCTTGTGGTACTGGTTGGGGAGACCTTGAGCTGGTTTCAGACCGTGGGGGTAAGGGTGCCGGTGGCCTGTTACGCACACTGCCTCGCCTCGCTGTCCTTTTAAACGTGCCCCACAGATCGTCAATGATGTGTGGTTCAAACGGGCCGTCTGTGTCATCACAGGTTTTCTGAATCAGCGAACTGAGGAATTGATAATCCTTTGAGCGATCCTCAGTCCTTGACTTCCTTGCCTTTTCTTCTTGTTTGTTGACTTCCTTCTGTTGACAAATGGGTTTGAAATGTAAAATCGTTTTGTCTTGCTATTTATCACTGTGATGATAAACACGTGCACGCCTACCCTTTGCTCAATGTCGTTTCTACCACAAAACCTTATGATATATGTACTGAGAATGTGTGACGTGCAGTGTTAACTGGTGAGCGTTTATGTGCTGTATGTCTTAAGACACACCTCTCAATATATACTACACAAAAGAAGTTAAGAACACCCGATGTTTTCATATGATTATACTTAATCAGTCATGGCTGGTGGATATTAACTCACAGCCTCCCAACTGTGGGCGTTCTTTACGTTGGGTAGAGTAGTATACATTGAAGTGAGTAAGTGAATGTTTTCAGCAAGAGACAAGTTACAGCGCCTGACGACCTCATCTCCACGTTTTTAGTCGGCTCTACGCATGAGAGACATGACTGTGGGCTTGTTCAAATTCGAGTGCCCCTTTATGTGGAGCAATAATATTCCAGCAGCTCCAGCACTTGGTGTCTATATTTCACCTCTTTTCAGATGCACTCGAGCATGCTCTTTCTGCGAAGATTTCAAAGAGCGTCATATGACTATTGCTCAAAAGTTGTTTGATCAAGATTACAGCATTAAGGCCTTGATAAACGTTTCAAAAAGGTTTATGGTAGACACGTTGATGACATTTCCAAATTTGACGCAGTAGTGACCCGTGATGCACTGACGTGGTCGGAATCGTACAATAGACTGTTTCAGCAGAACTTTCTGATGATTATGGAAAGGATTTTCTCGCTTTATTCTCAATGTTCTCTGTTTTCATGTGCACATTTCACATGTGATATCATTTTTTCTCTTATTACTTAGTAAGAGTGAGTGAGTGAGTGAGTGAGTGAGTGAGTTGGTGTTAACGCCGCCTTGAACATTATTCCAGTTACATCACGGCGTGTCACTTGACATGGAAGGAACAGCTGAAGTATTGCAGGTCTTAGATGTTTACCACTTTGGTGAAGCACGGGTTTGGTGCTGACAAACATAGAAACATAACCGGGGCAAACCGGAACTCGAACCCACGATCATAGGTTTCTGGCGTGCCAAAGGGACGCAACTCTGCACAGCAAATTGCGGCGCCTCGTGAGTATTATGCATGAGTGCACCAGTTAGGTGACAATAATTCTACGTTCTTTTATCTACTAGTATTGGATATCTGATACAAGAATCACCAACCTCTGCAGCTAGTTTTTCAACAGCTTGTCGATAGATATCAACGATGCTTGCCAACTTGAAATTGCGTTTGAGTGACTCAGTCCCTCCTCGTCCAAGATCAGTGTTCTTGCGACAGTCCGGACATTTAACACGCTTATTTCCCCCGCTCTGCAGTAAAGCCTTGAGGCAGCCCTTACAGAAGGTGTGCATACACGAGAGCTGCAGGGGGTCCGTGTACAGCTCCAGACATACACCACACGACAGCTCTCTCTCAAGTGTGTCCTCGTCAAACATCACGGCAGGTCACAACGACGGGATGAAGATGCTTACATAGCTGTATAAGGACTCCGCCTGAAACATAGTCATGAGTGAGTGAGTTGGGTTTAACACCGCTTTGAACAGTGTTCCAGTTATACAACAGCGAGTCAGCTTCCCGTGGGAGGAAAACCCAAAGTGATGCAGGTGTCAAACGTTTACCATTTAGGTTAAATCCGCGGGAATGGGTATAGTGCTGACTTACCTTGAAACATAATCGGTGCGAACCGGGATTCGAACCCACCATAATAGGTTTCTGGCGTGCCGAAGGGACGCAACTCTGAACAGCGAATTGCTTGGCCACCCTCGTGCACCCCATAGATATGGATGCAATCTTTGAATGTTTAAGGCAAATATTAAGATTATATTTTCCCTTTTCATTTATGTATTTCAGTCATGTATATAATAAATCGTCTGATAAGTCTAAATCTACCGTTTCTTTCTTTTCTAATAAAGTTTAATTAAAATTATGGAGTACATGTGAACATTAAAACTATGTGTCAATAACTCTAAAGATACATAGTATAATTATTAATGAATCTATGTCATGCTGTTCTTAAAAATCATAATTTGTGATATGTAAAAATAAAGAAATAGCATTCTACATGTGTATTAAATTATGCATCTGTTTTTCTAATTTTTGATATTTCTAAAAGTAGATTGTATTTCGATATACGATCTTTAAACTATTTAGGATGTGCTGTTGATAAACGGTGTCAGAAAATACAAGTTAGACCTAATACCTTTAAAACTTGTTAAACTGGCCGACACAATTAAACACAAATTTAACTATCACAAGGAAGTACTGATATGTTTAACTATAAGGTAAAAAAATCATTCATTGCGAAAGATTAGATGAGAAACAATGCAAATCTTAAATATCAAAAGCTTAATATATGTGTTAAAATCTTAATTACCTTAGGATCATTAATTCATTCAATAATTGTACAGATAATCTAAAATGTGTTACATACTTTCATGACACAAACATCCCATATACAAAAAAACAAAAATACACAAACGCTACTTGCGAACAACGAGTGAAATGGTATTGGCATCACGCCCTTACAGTTCGTATATGATTTCAATCCTAACAGCAACTCACCTAATAAATCATGACTGGCTTGGAGGAGAGTGGTCGTGATTATGCTCCAAGTATGTTCTAGCACTATGCCCTCGTAAAAACACTTTACCCACGTATAACACTGCCCACGCATAAGCACTATACCCACGTATAATCACAATGTCCGGGAATACGGAATTCATCAAAGTGGTCATGTCTGTAAACTGCGTCATTTTGAACTTTTGAACTCTCACTTTGTGCAAAAATCTCCTTCGGAAGCGGAAATACTTATAACTATTGGCCGTTGTAAACGTGACGTAAGGGATCGACCATTCTATTTTAAGAACTTCGTCATATTAATTTTAAATAAAACAAGCGTGCATTTATAACATTACTTTACATCATATAACGCACCACTGACAACGACAAGTGCTAACTGAAGATAAAATAATGTTCTTAATTTTTCCCCCGCTCCCAATACATCGCCCATTGGTCATCGGTGTCATAAATTACATGCAGAGTTGCGTCCCTCGGTCATGCCAGGATCTGATGATTTTCCCTCATTATGATCCTTGGTGTGTCAGCTCTCGGGCTTCATCACTAAAGTGGTAAACGTCTGTGGCCTGCATAACTTCAGGCTTTCCTCTCACATTAGTCAGACAACCTGTGATGTAACTGGAATACTGCTCAAAGCGGCGTTAAAACAAATGGACTCATTCTACAGACTCGTGTCGGCCGCTCATATTTTCCGATTTAATTGCCTCTTACGACAAACACTTGAACCTGTGTTTGAGTGTGTGGAACATTGCAATAATTTAGCAATAATCAAACAGAATCACGATGATAAAGATTTGGTGTCATATTATGCACTCATGAGAAAGCAGAGCCTTGATCGTCGCATAGTTTTCAACACCTCACTCACTGGGCATGCTTTAGTGGATCGGATGATCAAGCTTGAAGGCTTGGTGGATTGTGTGGCGTCGTTCCCAGCGACGTGATTTATTGCTTATGGTAGTGCTGAAAATGATTGTTTACAGGCCGCAGTCGTATGACGGGTACTTCTAGGGGAGGCGTTAGGCAACATACAGGCCGCGTCATACCAAATGACGTTAAAAGATGGTACTTGTTGTAACCCTGTATGGCGCTCGGCATTAAGGGGCTAAAACAAGGACTGGTCGGCTCAGAGTCAGTATACTGTGTCTGAGTGGGGTATTCATGTAAAACTGCGGCATGGTATCTCAGTGAGCTAGCACTATAAATCGGCATCAGTCCGGACTAGTACAAGCAGCCACGCACACACACACACACACACACACACACACACACACACACACACACACGCTATATAAGTGCAATAATCTTGGACGCGACGTTAAACCCCATTTCACCTCACCTCACCTTTTATGAAAATTGTGTGAGTGGCGGGTGCTACTAGTAGGGCAGGACATGCTGACCATTTTCGTTGACTCTTTTGTGTCATGACTGTTTTTCAGAGATCCATTCATATAATTTTCATCACTATTTCGCTTGTAATGTATGGATGGATAATGGAAACTGAGTATTCTCTGACGTCACCTACAATTATGACACTTCAATCAGATTCACTTACATCTGAACAACAACAACAACAGAGGAGATTAAGGGTCACAGACGTCAGTACAACAATATTTCATCTGTATGACGTACATGCCAATAATGGGGTCGACATCCGGGTCAAAAAATAGAGTGTCAAAGTTCTTTCTTTGAAGCGAAAAGGCTTCGAATAATAAAGACTGCATGACTACAAAAACGGAAAAAAGTTAAATATATATTTCCGGGAGGAAGTACCTTTTGATTGGTATTTGACCACTTTCTTACCTTTTCAGTTTATATCACTTTTGCGATATTGCTAATTGTAATGGATGTTATCCCATAGTTTGATCTATTTGTGACAATAATTTAAAAGCCGTATACATCCCGAGGTTTTGTACACGAACTATACACGTGACGTCAAAGGAATTTGCTTCGGAGATGACTTGAGGTGTGGGGCCTAAACAGTGTTGATGCTGAAGAAAATTAACATCTTTTTCTTATTGAAGATACTAGTATACCTATAAACAGACACAGTGCTATAATGTGATGTTACATTATGACAGAAATGGCAGAAATGGAAATGAAATAGGGTGAGGTGAGGTGAGGTGAGGTGAGGTGAGGTGAGGTGAGGTGAGGTGAGGTGAGGTGAGGTGAAAGATTATTGCACTTACATAGCGACGTGCCCAAGAGACACACCTCTGCACGGCGTATTGCGGCGCCAAAGACGACCCCCCCCCCCCCCCCCCCCCCCAACAGAACTACATCAGATGAGAGTAGGTCGACGAAAGCTCCGTTCAGATGTGAAGCTGTTGCTAACAATGTCCATGTACATGTAACTCTCCTGAGTTAGCACCCTTTGACTTTTATCTCCTCCCTAAACTAACATCACACATGCGTAGTACAGTTGTACGGAGGCAGGGTAACAAAGATCGTGCATCGCCGTGACAAGTGTCTTGAAGCGAAAGATAATATTTAAGATAATTATGTGTGAACAGTTTTGGTGATGAACGATTTTCTATGTAAGTCACGGAAGTCATGATTTTCTTTGCCATTTTGCTTCTTCAGTTATTGTATCTTGGCATAATCCGATTCCTTGTTGAGATAAACGAACCTTTTCTATATGTAGGCTGGAATAATAATGAAAGAAGATATCTTACTTTGTACACACGTAAAATCTTTCTTCATATTATTATACGATTTTATTTAATTATAATGGGAGAATCCATGTTAATGTTTTTCACGGAACTTAAGCAGATTAAACATCTGAAAAATCTGATCATGGGTTTCTTAAAGGCCTAAGAGACACAACTCCCATCAGCGGCGCAATATATCTAGACGTCTGAGTCACCGCTTTCTCCAAAATGATATTTAGATAATTAATTTGCGCATATTAATTAATATCGATAGTCTCAATGACAGGCTGTAACACCAAATTATGTCAGGATCTGAAACTAGACTGGCACAGTGGAGATTTTGAAATATTGGGAATAAAGCTAAACTCTAACTTGAATAATTTATTGTTAATCAATACGAAAGAGAGAATTGACATTTTAAATAAAATTTTAGAGAATTGGAGGAAAAGAAATTTAACATTGATATGTACAATTACTATTGTCAAATCTTTGGCCCTATCAACCTTAGTACATTATATTTTCCAACTGATATGAAGAATATATACTAGCCTACTCAATGATGTATGCTACTTTGATGTATGAAAGAAGAACGAACCTGAGTGTTGACGTCACTATACAAGATGAGTTGCCGCACGGATTGACGTAAATTACACCACATCACGGATTTACCAGGCATACATACACAGTTGTACCTAATGATAACTCTGTACCCCCTGAAACATGTGATAGGAATACTGGGCGTTGTTTCTTCGTGACTTGGTCTTCGTCGACCCAAAATTTCAAAAATATTCAATGATATTAAAACTTTCTTTCTTCCGGCCGAGTCTGTGTCCTAGTTTCCGGAAATGTAAAAATCTACATACGTTTGTTTAGTTCCTTTGATGTAATACGATGCTTTGCGCTGTAAAAACGTCTGTCAGCCACATAGCATACTTCACATTGGCAATGCATTCATTTACAAGTGTGTGACCTGTCAGTGCTGACATATCGAATGCAGGCCCGATAGTGTAAGGTAATATACTGCCTTAAAGTGACATCTAAACCCATTGTTATACTGCTGCGTGGCTGTGACAAAGCTGTATACAGTCACAGATGTTGTCAGACTTCTCGTAGTTACGTTAACCAAGCGAGTATTGCACACATTGCAGCGGCATATAACGATTATGTAGATGAGATCCCGACCTGAGACGTACATGTCTTTGTGTCGGATCAGGGCAAATACCCTACCTGTATGTCAGATTACGAAATATATTATGTGTTTCAGGTCA